TCAATAGAGAAAAATATTCGAAAAAAAATTTAATGATTGTCTTAAAAGTTAATTTGAATATAATTTTCATTGATTTTTTTGTTTAAATTTGGGTGTGGGTGGGTGTGGGGTGTGGGTGTGTATGAAAAGAACAACTACAACTAAACCCACACCCACACCCACACCCACACCCACACCCACACCCACACCCACACCCCACACCCACACCCCACACCCACACCCACACCCACCCACACCCACACCCACACCCTGGTAAAGGTTATGGTGTTCATGTTGAACAAACAGGTATTTTTCTACCCATCCCATTGAAATAAATCTTAGATTGTTTTCTATTTATTTAGGTACGCAAGAAGCAATGGAACGATATGGTCATTTGTTAGAGAAAGCCCTACAATCACGAATGCATGAAGATATTCCATCCGGTTGCGAAGAGTGGATGTTAAAAAATGGAAAAGAGAATAGAGGCAAAAATTCTACAACAGCAGCAATATCAAGTTCTAAATCACCACTAAACCAACAATTATCATGTGAATATAGACGATCCTTTTTTAAATGATTTTATCGATCCTTTCTTTTCTATTTAGCACCGTCACACAACAAAATTTCCTTACGAAACGTCGCATTTGGTTAGTAGTCAGTTCAAAATTTATAAAATTGTTTTGTTTTCTTTTTTTTCTTTGTTTGAAAGGTGAAATACCATCATCTCCTGGATATGTTCTTCATCAGGCAGTTTCGTCATGTACGCACAAAAATGATTCATTGAATCATGAGCGAGGGTTGAACGTATGTGCACAAGGTATTATTAATCTTTTCTCTCCAACCAATAAAAGTTGTTGTTAATTTCTAGATATAACAACAAGTGATGATGATTTATCTTTTTTACATGATGTTGGTGAAGAAGTTTCATCAGACGAAGAACTAGATGTGACGGTTAAGTCATCATGGAATCCTAAAATATCAGCAACAAGAAGTACCAAGTCGAAAAAAGGTTTAGTAAAACAAAAAGAAACATCAACTCCTAAGCGTTTACATTTGTTGACTAATGATGATGATACTTTGCATGATGATCATTTAATTTTACAACAAATATTCGATTACGTAAAACAAATCAATTCAAACGTATTGAAATTACAAAAACATCAACAACAAACAACAATAAATTTAGATCGTCTAGAAAAATTTTTAAATATATTATGTAATAATCAAAAGAAAATTGCTAAAAGTTTGGTTAAACACAGGGTAGAAAGAGGACATGTAAGCATATTTAGTAGATTTCAAGTGCTGTTTTCATTTAGATACCAATTACTCTCGAGAATGACAATAGAAGTGTTGAAATTGATGGTGAACAATCTGGTAATCAGTATGTAGTATGTTGTATTGATAATAAATTTTTTTATCTTTTCAGTTGAGGTAAAAGTAGTTTGCTTATTCATTTATTGTTTCCTTTTTAGACATTTGTCAGAGGTGATGGCTCTGTCGTAGAACTATTGTCTGTACCAGGCAATAAACAAAATACAATCAAATATGCGTTGAAGTTAATAGATGTTTTGTTTACAGACATACAAGATTTTCAAAATATCAATGTGAAGAAAGCTGATGAAGATCCACGTATAAAATCTATTTATAGTAAGTATAAGTACAATAACGAAACATAATAGACAATACCTTCTTCCTCTTATTTTAGCGGCTGTGAAACGAAAATTCGATTATTCTGCGGATGAAATGTCTTGTGTTTGGCCTCCAATACACGATTCTATTTTAAGTAAACGTCGCAATGAACAAAAAAAATTAAAAATATCTACAGATACAAGTAATGTATCATCGTTTCTTATATATACTTTACCACTTTTATCATTTCTACAGATTTCACCAATCAAACCATGTCAACTTCAGTAATGCCGGAAGTCAACGACACAGAACAACAGAAGATCTAGTATGAATTATATCGATGGAACAATATACAGCCAACATTGTTTTATGTGAAAATTAGATTGTAATATTGGTTATTAAAGACAATAAAGAACAAAAAACGATTATTTATGACTTTCACTCTTTGTTTTGTAAAAGAATATATTTTTTTTTACTGTGTATTAAGTTATTGTGTGTTACTTTCTGGAATTTTTTATGTGACATCCATAGATTTGTTGTATTGTTGAAATTAATTATCTTAATAAAGTAGTAGGATACATTTTGTATAAAACGATAGTATTAATCTATAAAAAGTTTCATGAAGCCTACGCTGACTGGTCAATGTTGATAAGAATATTATATATTAATCGCGATTTTTGCTAAAAATTGGAAAAAGTATCGGCAAAAATCGGCAGTTCGAACGATTATATCGTGATAAGCTCTCACGATTAATCGCCCTAATAAGCCGCGATGAAATCGTCGATTTTTTAGCGATTTCGGGGACATGGGTCAGCATTAAGTATATAGGATTCAAAATGGTTTCTTTTTATTTTCGAATCTCCCTAATAATTAACTCACCACAGTCAAATAATTGCAACCGATACGTCTGCTACTGATTGGAATTTTTTTTGCGTTGTATACTGTTTGCTTGTTTTTTTTAATGAAATTACTTGATTCTTACTCTTGCAGCATGACGACGTTTTGTTGTTCTGTTTCTATGTGCTTTGTCTCCTTCTTTTTCGTTTTCTTTAACTCTCTTCAAATATGCATTCAATTGCGAAGAACTGTGCATAGCAACAGTGGAACATTCTCAGGATGAGTGGACGAAGACTGATGACAAAAAAGCCAAAAACAAACATACATATGC